TTTCATGATTTTCAAAATTTTCCAATACACATGATTTTTATGCAATAAAAATCTACCACATATCTATGTATAGGCGAAGTATTAAAAAGGAGCAAGAAACGCCTACCTCAAGGCTAGAAGACAAGGAGAGCAAGGATGAAGCTTTGACATAGCCGAAAACAACTTCTTCCCCGATTAAAATGAAGCTCTAGGTGAGCTCTACATTTTTCTCCAATGGACAATGGTGTAGAGATCAATGGATTGGGAGTATTTGGGGCTAGAAACCAAGAACTAGAGAGACAGTGAAGAACTAGGGCTTATGAATTGTTTAGAGAGAGAGAGAAATGAAAAAGTGATCCAAAAAGTAACTTTTCAGAACTGATATACACGCAGACCACTCGAACGAACAAAACACCACTTGAGCGACTAGACACAATAAGTGACACCGCTCGAGCAACAAAGTGACCTCTTGAGCACACAATGACACTCTCCCAGAAGTTTTGTAGACCTGCAAAAATACTAGGAGACCTCAAAGACTATTCGGGCACAAGAATGACCGCTCGAGCAAACAAGCCAAAATCTAGACAACAACTCTTTTGGAAAACTAACTCGCAACTTGTTCCAAACACAACAACAATACCCAAACAATCAAACTCAACAATGGATAAGATGAATAAGGACATGAATAACCATTCAAGACAAGGAATCTCGGTTCCAAAACAATGAATGGGTTAGGTCTAAACCGAAATTGTTATTACATTCTTAATAATTCCATGATCCTTGCAAACATCTACTACTGTGATCCATGAGATGAGATCTACTTCAAACTGAATCACACAGTTGAGAGGGACACCATTTCTGCATGTGTTTCAGGTGGCAACATGAACAATGCCATCTCCCCCTTCTTCATGGTAATGATTGCACGATCCAGTCCAATAACCGCTTGACCTAACTAACTCATCAATAAACCAATCAAGTTGAAGGAAACCCAAAATTAACTCCATGAAAATAAAGAATCACAATGAAATACTTTTGCATCTGAAATGCTTTGTTTTTTAATTTTAATGTAATGTCTTTAAAGCTAGAAATCCACCAATTTTGTTAGTGGAGATAGTAGTCTTTAGCATCATTGGTATTGTTTCTAAATATAAGTTCTCTAACTTTTATGAGCATTCAGCCATTTTCAATGGGTTGTTTTGTGGGTAAATAGGTTATGCTCATTTGTTTCTCACACCAATGGTTCTCATTGATTGCATATATTTTGCATTGTTGAGCATAGATGGGGTTTTATTTCAAGCTTGAATATACATATATATATATATATATATGATTACGTTAGTAAGTTTTCAATTAGGGAAGTCCTCTAATTTTGTGGTCTGTATATTCAGGTATATTGTCGAACAAGTGGTGTGACCCCAAATTTGTGTATGCACTAATTGGCAACCATGAGAATAGAAGCATGCAAATCAAATATCAATATATCCTTATATGGCAAAAAAGGGAGTAGAAAACCACTAAATCACATACCAGATTGTGGAGTTTGGGCTGTGATCTGTGAACCCAGAAACAACGAAGTTGAACCAAGATAGGAAGTGAAACAAAACAAAGAGTATATACATATATATATGGTTTTGTGCACCAACTGGCCGACTCTCTTTTCCAACACACGTAGTTGCATAAGCAAACAAAGAGCACCGCCTCGTCCAATTGACATTTTGTAGGTACCACTTACAGTGCATCCCAACACAAGGCGCACCATAAGAACTCGTGAATGAGAAGCTTTGAGAACACACCAGAAACATCAGCGTTAGAAGCATTACAATGCAGCCGCTATACTTTTTATATAGGTTATAAATATACATGTTCAAATTGACAAATTTTACATGGATCAAAATCACAATCAACACCAATTAAAACTACTTAGCTAGCACAAACTTACCTGATCACAGAAATGGATGTTCAAGCATCAAAATTATATACAAATTTAGAGAGGTGGAGAAAGAGGGAAACTTACCCCTAGGAGATAGACAACTTTGACCAACCCTAGCCTTAAAAAAATCACTTGTTAGGGTTTTCAAAAATTATGAGAGAGAAAGGGGCAAAGTGAGAGCAACAAACGAGTGTAAGAGAGAGAGAGAGAGAGAGAGAGAGAGAGAGAGAGAGAGAACTTAACAGATAGTCGTAGTCGCCGGTGGTAGTCGTGGTTGCTGGTGCTGTCGCGGAGCACGCTGCTGGTGGTGAAGGTGCTCATGTACGTGCGAAAAGGCAAGCGAGAGAGTATTTGTGTGTGTGCGTGCGTGTGTGTGTGTGTGTGTGTGTGTGAGAGAGAGAGAGAGAGGCGATTCCAGAGACCAGAGAGATGGTGGTTTCAGAGATGGCAGACTAAGAAAACTGAATTAGAGCTAATGAATCAGAAAGAGAGGCAAAGAGAATTGAAAAGGAAAAAACATGTTGTATTTGGAAATTCTGTCTTGTTTGGAAAAGGGAAGAATCGTGCCTCTCTATTCATGGGTGAGGCTAGAATTGGTGCGAAGATTGAAAATTTTATTTTATATAAAATCACTTGTTAATTAAAAGATGTGATTAAAAAAAAAAAGATATAATGACACTTAATTGAAAAGTGACATAAAAAATAAATATAATCACATGTGTGATTAAATATATATATATATATATATATATATATATATATATATATATATATATATAATCACACTTAATTGAAAAATGATATAAAAAAATATATTATCACACTCAATCAAATCAAGTATGATTAAAATATTAATCTAATTGTTTTTATCACACTTTCAATAAAAGTGTGATATTTTCATTTGTCAAAGTGTGATCTTTAACTGTTTTTGTAGTAGTGTGTGTTGTTCAATTTGGAATAATATGTTTGTGAACTCACTTTCTGTTGAGTTGCACATTATTCAAAGTCTTTCAAAATATATGAAATCAAGTTGTTCCAAAATGAATGACACAATCTATACTTGTTTGTTTTCACATAGTAAGTTTTAGGATTATTAATAACTGGAATATGAACATATAAAACCAATAAAACTCATATCATGGTTTAGTAAAAGCCTATCTTTTTATCAGATGAACATGGGTGCTCAATTAAAGACATTTCCATCTCATACCTAAGGTTCTGAACCAAAACATCTTTGGTTACAAAGAACCGTGGCCTTGGCACGAGTCATAGGTTTTCTAATTTTTTTCAAAATATTAGGTGGCAACTCTGAGATTTGGTGACTCAGTCCATTTCTAGCAAAGATTTTGCAATAAAATGGATTTTTTATAAAAGTTGTCAGATTTGGACTCTCATCTATGGTTCAGATCACACTTGTGAGATTAGATCAAAGAGATCGAGAGTTCAAACTGTTTAATGCACACGGGTACCCCCAAGTGATGTGACATATAGCTATTCAATCCCATTAGCTAACAACCACAACTTTGATTATTGCAAAGTGCTAGAACTTGGTTCATAGAAGTCTAGAAAACATAATAATAAATAAAAGTAAAACAAGTAAGCCAAGCAAGGTAGCAAAGCATTTTCCTATTCAACCATTATGTCAAACACATAGTAATCAACAAATTAGAATAGCACAATAGCAATAGAAGAGAGAGATAGAAAAAAATAAATAAATAAAGGAAAGACGAGGCAAGACAATATGCTATGCAATGTATTGGCCCGGGTCAAAAAATTTGACCCATTTTATTTTCTCAATTAGGACACAGGTTGCCCCAATGGTTTTGTTTGTATTTGGGTGGTTTGGGTTCATTGTGTGCTTCAGGTTGGCTGTGGAGTAACGACCCTGGTGTTCTGTTCTAGGTTGATTGAGCCCGCGACGGCCTTGCTCGCACTCGCGATTTGTTAAGGGTGCCTGTGAGTGGTCCGCAACCAAAACATAGCTTTAGGTCTGATGGCTAGGAGGAGGGTACGTGGCCTGCGATGGTGGCTCGCGACTCTCTTGGTTGCACTTGCGAATGTGTTGGTCTTGCTCGCAACCATCTTTTCTTCTGTTCATGCCCACCATCTCTATGTTCACACCCGCGGTCTATTTGCGTATAAAAGTCATGAAAAGTTAAAAATATCTCATTTTTGAAATTCCCTTCTCTTTCTTCTCATCTTTTCTGCCATTTTTGTTTGTTTCAAGCTTTCAAGCTTGGTTTTCATCTACATTTACTCCTCTTCTACTCCTAATTCCATATAACAAAATGTAGAGCTCAGCAAGGATTTCCATATAATCTGACAAGATCGTTGTTTCTTTGCCAGTGATTTTTGGATTGTCTCCTTTTTGCTTTAAGAGGTAAGGATTTCTTTACTCCTCTTCAATACCTCATCTACATATAAACATGTGGTAGATTTTATTGCATTAAAACTATATTTGTTATGAATTTTTGAAATCATGTAAGGGGCTTAGGGTTTGCGCTTTGGAAGTTAGGGTTTTGATTAATTAGGTAGTAGTTGTATATCTACACAACCGATATATACCCCTCTCACCCTCTACAAACCCAACTAGAAGAATTATGTAATCGTGTCTCAATAATTAAGTTAGCCACATGCTACTAATGTATGGCACACCATTTTCATATACAATTTTCATTCATTCTCAAAACAAAATCAAGCTTTACACAGTTTGAATAAAATAATAATAATAATAATAATTATATGCGGATCTCTACATAATTAATTATACACCACAATAAATAAATAATAAATACAAATTCCAAGTCTCTGCAATCTTCTTTTAATTTCATCCTCACAACTTCACAAGGATACTCAAGAAGAGAGATTTCATCAAAGAGCCCCCTAACATGGTCCAAAAAACAATTTCAAAAAGCCAAAAATCATTACAAAAAGATTTCTTGAAACTCTATTTTTTGCAATTTTTATTTTTTTTTTAAATTTTTAAAAGTTAAAAAATTATCCCAAACACTACTTTTTCACCTCATAATTTAACCAAAAAATCGTGTCCCAAACCAACCCTTAAAGAATTACTTGCATACACATGCTGGGGTTAGAACAAAACTTCATATGAATACCAAGAAAGGATAAATCTCAAGTCCTACTACGCACAACATTGTATTTTTAGCCAGCAAAGCTCAGGATACTTCAACAAAAAAAATATATACACATAGTCAAGCTACACTTCAACCCAACATTGGAGTTCTGAAAACTAGAGAATCGTTGACAAAAATCTCAGTATCAAACAAAAGTCAGCAGTTGGGCAAACTAGTTGAATTCTGTCTTCTTTTCCTGATCCGGTACAAAGTCAGCAGTTGGTTTTCATCTTCTTTATTGTACCAATTTTACCTTTCTTTCCTGCATTGGTACAAATAAGAAAGAATCGTTCTGAAATTGTGGTCATTCAACACCAAGAGAATTGTCAAAATATGGACCCTAACTATTAGAGAGAGAGAGAGAGAGAGCTGTAAAGTAATAAATTGAGAGGGACTTGCTGGCGTTTTGAACAGTTTTTAATAGTTCAGTAAATAAAAATAAAGTGAAAAATGCAAATTCAGCATGCGCTAACACAAAGTGAACATTACAATTTAAACACGATTGCTAAACAGAAACTGATGTGGGACAGCTCTGGGAAACCTAGCCCAAGGCAGCCTCCAGTAGTTTTGGTGGGTTTGGGCAATTGAATACTAATGACAAAATCTATCCAATGCCATGCTAATTTAAAATAAACATAAACAAATGCTCAAAATTAGTCCAAAACTTCTTTCCATAGGACAGCTCTAGGAAACCTATCCCGAGGCTGCCTCCAGTAGTTATGGTGGGTTTGGGCTATTGAACACTAATGACAAAATCTATCCAAGCCATGCTAATTTAAAATAAACAAATGCTCAAAATTAGTCCAAAACTTCTTTCCATGATACCCTAAATGTAGTACTTCATGTGAAATTTCATATTTCTCCCATTTTTTCTTTCCATCATGCTCTTAACGCCACCATTTGAAGTGGTGAGGTAAAACATAATGAATTGTCTATCAAGCATGTATACAAGATATGGGTAAAATATGATACGTATGCGCTAATACGAAAAACCTAAAAAAATAGGATATAGTTACAGCCACGATAAGTTCCTGAAAAATAATATTTTTATAATTTTTAGTATTATATTGTATTTAAGCTCAATTTAGAAATTTAGAATTGAATATTAGTTGAAGAGCCAATGGGCACCAGTTACTTTTTTTTTCCAGTAAATCCTATGAAAATTCCATTTTGATATCAAGTCTAAAATGTTTTTATTGCCCTTGTACTTTTCCCTTTCATACTTAAATGAGTTATATGCAAAAATGTTGTATGCAACTTAACTTACTTTTAACTATCGAAATCAAAATAGTATATCATTACTTTTTGTTATTTATTCTGACCTTATGAGAAGTTATAGATATGGATATAGGATGCATATATGACACATAAGGGTAAGACAATTCAATAAATTTTGTAAAGTATTGTACATTATCTCTCTTTCAAAATAGTTTGGATACATGATTTAGAGTATGCCAAAAGCATCGATACTTCTCAAAATTAAAGAAAATTAATATCAAAATTGGATGCGAATCTATAGTATCCGATACAAATACAATACTGATATGACTCCTTTTTAGAAGCATCTCTGCTTCATCGTGAATAAGTTACAACTTGAGAAATCAACTAGAAAGTAAGGAACCCAAGGCAATTAGCAAAGAAGAAAGTCATACAGCAGACATATGCCATGACATAATATACGAGGCATGGTTTAATATAAATCAGGTCATGTGTACTATAGTAATGTGATGGAGGCAAGTGGAAACAACCTCTTCATGTGTACAAGAGGCACAAAAGAAATGCTTTTAAGGCTTGAGCTTTGATCTTGCATTTATTAGACAATGAGCAACCCACTTAAGACCTTAGATAGCTATCTTTTAGCCTTTCTTTTTTATGTTATGCAGTTTGCTTGCAATTTTTTAAGTTCAGAGGTATTTTCCTAATTTCAGAATTTTCTGGACACAGGCTATATGTGTTACCCATGGGTTGTTTTGTGAGTAAAGCTATTAAATTGGTTATTTGTTTATGGTTTTCTTTTTTCTTAGATCCTCTTTTGAAATCCTAGTCATCAGTAGTGAAGAAAGTCTCTAAACTCTAGAAAATCAAGTATTTTTAGAGCTTTGAAACTTTCTTTTAAGGATTGTGTGAATGCAATCAAACCCTAAGCATGATGCCTAAAGTCTCTAGGAGTGATTCCTAAATCTATCTTTTTCTTCTTCCTTTCTAATAGTTTCTGCGCATTAACAACACTATAACAGTGTTCATGGTAACTGTTCACCACCCCTAGAACAGTCCCAAAATGCATTCCTTTTCCTTATTTAATTGAGTCCTTCCTTCCATAGATATTTGTAGGTAATATCACGCTCGATATCTATTGAGCCATTCGGGCCCGCGTTATTGGAACCATACTTACGTGGCAAACCAACAAAGCACCACAACATCCTCATAGGATTAATTGGGGTTGTACGCCTAGCCCAAGCGGCAGTATACACACCATAATAATGACTTACAATATGAAGAGCCCAACAACTGAGCCTGACTCAATAGGCAGTACCATGGCTCACTCCAACTCCATCAATCTTCATACCCGTTTGATAGCATCATAGTCAAGCCGTTGGCCCTGCTAATGTTCATCAAGCGCATTACCAACGTAGGCAAGGTCCCAGCCCAGCTTATGTCATTGGACTGCGGAAACTAAGCCTCTGACTTAGCATTCATATGAGCCCATGGCTCACTCAAACACTTGGTTGCCTAGGTAGGGAGCAGGATCTAGGCACCCCCACTTGGGATCATTGAAGGCTTGTGGACTGGAGACTAGGGTCAAGGATTTGTCAAGGATTGCCTGGTTGTCTTCCAGCCAAGACAACCCCTCCGTGACCAGGCCTAGAGAGAGGTGAAAGAGACCTTGGACTCACGCATGCCTTTACTAGGGCTATACAAATAATAGGTTCATCCGAAAAACCCAACTCACACCGACCAAACCAAGCCTGCTGCGAACAATTTCAAATTTTCAACGGTCAGAAGTGGGCCTTATTCTGCAAATCTGTTCATGTTTCGGTGACGGGTGTGCCAAAGGAAATTCATGGAAACCGACCAAACCAATGTATATATCTGATGCTAAGTATGCCACATCACAGTTCCACCAATTATATAATTATATTCATCTTTTCCAAGACATCCTTATCACCTTACCTCTTTCTACTCAAACTTTAAATCTCACGCTTGTCTCTCTCCCTTTCAGTCTCTCTCATCTCCTCATTGTCTCACCTTTCACCTTTTCATCTACCTCTCATAGTTCTCTCTCATGCTCTCACTCTCTGGTCTCCTTTCCTGTAACGCCCCAAATTTCTAGCCCAAATGATAATGTAACAATCATGGCTCTCTTAAAGGAAAACCAAATATAAATTTTCATACTTGCATTACATAATAATAATAGTTCCTCATGCGATATTACATTGATTCAACAACAAGTAAATAACTAAATAAGCACCCCCAAGGGTTTACAATCTTCCAAGGCTTAAGCCCGGTACACAAAATGGTTATTCAAACCCACACATACATAGCCATTGGCTTACAAATAGGATCACAGCAAATGAGAACTTTAGTGCTCTCAACACACACATTTCCACGCCCTCAATTAGGCGGATTCACCACGTCCTTTCCTACACAAAAATCTAGTAGGGTGAGCATAAAGCCCAGTAGTAAATCCTTAACAAAGTATATACATTTTACACAAGTCTCAAGAGATAAATGCACGTACCATGCCATACCTTTTTGAAAATAAAACACATCTTCATCTTTTGAAAACAGTCATGCTCAATGATGTTTTGCAAACTTCAACTGTTCAAAATTTATCAATTTAATTAAAGGGGGCAGTAAATAGAACTCTGTTAATCCCTAGGTCGGTGTTTGCAAGTAGACTATACGAGTACTACCAATTGTCATTTTTATCAGTATTAACCAGAAGGCTCGACCGTATTTACCCCAAAACCATTTCATGAAAACTCATTTCCCAACATTCTTTTCTCAATGCAAATTTCCAAAACTTAACAAAGTCCAATGAATTGAAATGCCAATGCATGCTTAATAATGCAATGCAACATTACTTCCATATTCAATTGTTCCACAAAATATACCATTGTGATCAAAATTTCCAATCCCCTTTTCAACACAATTCCACAAGATGTATATATATATATATATACTTTTATATCCAATTCATTCAAGAGAATAACGTAATTCCCACATTTCGAGCAATCTCAACAATTTAGTTAATTCAAGACTAAATCAATATTTTGACAACAATTTCCAAAATAAACAACATTTCTCATTTTTTTCACAAAATTCGTCATTTATATATAAACAAACAATTTTCAAAACATCCATTTAGTTTGGTACACAAAATAAACATGACAACATCCTCTAAGGATTTCCAACATCTTTCAAAGAAAAGACCCAATTTCAAGGTTTTCTTACCAAAACCATTCATCTCCAAAATATTTAGAAGAATCCCCCCAAAATCATCTTTCTTCAATCAATATGGTTCAAAACCTTCAATTTCTAAAAGAAAAAGAAATTAAACCCTCTTTCAAAATCACTCATCTTCTTGAAATCAACAATCAATTTCTCAAAACTAATTAAAGGATGATTTCGAAAATCATCTAGATCTTGCAAAAACATAAAATTCTCATGTGACCACATAATCAATTCATTAAATATCACATTAAATTCTCATGTGACCACACAATTAATAAAGTCAAAAATAAAATAAGATAATAATAATCATAATAATAAATAAATGACTTAAGAAAATTAGGGTCGCTACAGTTCTTTCTCTCTCTTTTTTATTTTTTTTATTTTTAATAATCTCAACTCTTCTCTTAAATCTATGTGAAGATTTATAGGAATATGTATAGATCTATCTGTGTTTTTGTCTATTTTTCTCTCAAATCTGAACATCTTTATAGTTTTCTTTGTTTTATTTTCTTTTTCTCAAACTCTTCTCCCATATCCATCTGACTTTGGGTTCGAAGAGAGAGAGCAAAGTTCATCATTTTTGGCCTAATGGTTCTGACCAAAATCCGACCGGCCATGTCGATTTCAAATAGTATGGTTTCGAGACTACTAGTACAGTTGAAATCAATTGATGATGAAATTTTCTACCCAACTCAGTTCGAGTGACAGGCTAGTACCAAACCCAGTCCGACTCGACCCGTGTACAGCCCTAGCCTCTGCATACATGATACGTTGTCATCACACTTATCAGAAAGCCATAGGGGTCTTCCTGTTGCATCGGGAAGAGCTTGCCACCTATCTAACAGTTTGTTTGGGCTCCAATACTCCTAGAGACCATATAAACATATCATGGATGCAATAGCACAAGACACCAACACTAACACATCGATCAACACATGACTTAATCCTAGAATCATCACACACAAGTGTTCAAGACACCAACCCTAACATGAACACAATTATCAACACATTACTTAATCCTAGAATCACCACACACAAATGTTCAAGGTCTCTCACTGCCAACCTCTTCATCTCTAAGCCTGCATTGGCCTTTCTCCTCCCCACCATCTTCCCAGAATTCACCAACCGACCACCTCTAACATCCTTACCCACAATATTAAAAAATCCTAAATTTTCCACTGAAATTCAACTTTAACCCTTAACATAGCCCTACAAACTCCAGCTTTAAATTGTTGTCCTACTGCATCAAATGCTGGTGATAATATTACTCTTCCTAGTGAGGAGCATAGTTGTTAAATCCAGAACCATATCGTGAGAAGAAATTCTAAATTTTCAAATCGTGAAGTGAATCAAATCGAGAATCTTTACGATTCAATACATACTATAAAAAAATGATGTCGAACACGAATATATGAAAAATAATGAATAAATTAATCTTGCCATATGCTATAAAATAATTATTATGTAAGGATATGATTGCACCGTCTAATTTGGGAAGACAATGCGTTCATAGAAAAACATGTAAGTCTAAATCCTACCAACAATAAAATTACTAAAATCATAATATAATCTATTGACATTAAAAAATTAACCTAGGAATCCTACATAGAGTATTATAAGAACAAAGAATTTAGTGGAATCCTTTGTTTTAAAACCAACAACACTTTAAATGGTGGGTATTCTCAGTGTTCAAGAAAAACTTTTAAAATAATATAAAAAATTGTGGAACCATTGGGTCAAAAATGATCGGACTCATGTAATATTGAACCCTATATATTACACTAGTAATAATAAATAATTCATAAGTGTAAGTTACTTTTGTTGTTGATCAAGCCTAACACAAAACTAGAAACATCTAAATCTAATATTCTCACAATACCAAGCGTATCTTGTCCTACATTTTTTGAAAATCGTCAAGCCAACAAGTTAGTGTTGTGCCGTGTCGTGTCAAATGCGCCTTTTTGTGCTACTTAGCACACATGTATACCAAAAAAAGAGTGTTACAATATCCTATATTTTATCTAACATGTTTCAATTACTATATGTAAACATATAGTTTGAAATGTTATGTTTTATAATTTTACAATGACAGCCTATTCAAAAAGTGGGATATTAATTGTCCTCACTCCCGCAAAAGATTAGGCCAGAAACATGACCTCACAAAATACGTGAGAAAATTTATTTAATCATTAGTGAACAGAATCAGTGTTTTGCATGAAATCTTTTAGTTTATAAAAGATGAAAAATTTTACTCCCTAACATATTGTAACACCCAAGACATTCTTGCATGTCATATGCATTCTTTATCCTTGCTTTCTCATCTTGCATTGTATATTTGCTTGTGTGCTAGGAATTTGCTTGAAGACAAGGAGCAAAATGGATGCTAGTATGAAGCTTTAAAATAGAAATTCCTTTGTTTTGTGTTAGGAGTTAGGGTATCACTTCTAGCTTGGAACTAATATGTTAGAGTTGTTGTTTTCATTAATCAAGGAGCTTAAAGATCTTAGACTAACGTGTTTGGTAATTTGATGCCAAGTGAAAAATGTTAAGTAGGATTAGTGATAACAAAATAGGATTAATTAGACATAATCAAGATTAATTAAGCTAAGTGAGATTATGGCCTAACCTTGAGAGTTGGTGAAGCAAAAACATAGGTGAAGCAAGCATGTAGGTGCAGCATATACACACCTCACCTAGTTTCCTCGCACATCCTGCTTGGAGGTAGTCTTAAACACAAGAGAGACAAGTGTCTCTCCTATTATAAAAGCACACAATTTGTCTTGAGGAGAGAGAATTTGCTGGAAAAGATAGAAGCAAGAAAAGAGGAGAAAGATTTTACCAGAAAGAGACAGAGAGAGAGAAGAAAAGAGAAAGAAAAGAGAAAGAAAAGGAAAGAGAAGGAAAAGACTTCAAGACCTTGAATTAGGCACTCCAAAACTCAATTTGAAGTAAGTTTTCTATCTATATTCATTGTTTTGATCATCACAACTAGAAAAATATAAGGAAATATTAAGATATGATAGGATTAAATGAGAGCATGGAAGAAAGGAATGAAAAGAAGCTAGGGTTGGTGTAATCTTGTTAGAGATCATGGTTTTGATGAAGTATTTTGAATAAATTTGTAACCTCATGTTTTCCTACAACTTGCAAGTGTTTTGTTAGTAAAATTTCATGTTTTCATGCCTTACAATGGAAAGGGGTGTTCTTGCATAAGAGAGGAATTTCGGAGCTGAAAAGAGGATTCAAGACTGTGTGAATCTGCAAGTGCAGCCAAGAAGGCCCGCACATGCAGCATAGTTGTGACACCCTAGAGAATGTTATGTACTATAATTATATCATCATTCATTTTTTAATACCTCAGTTCAAAATAACTATCCCATTGAATATTCCATATCACAAGACACCTTGATTTAATTACTTTCCAATACTCTAGAGATAAAAATATGAATTGTTAGGATAACAATTTAGGAGATAAACTATGACAACCGACCATTCATGCATAATGCATATCATATTATTATTGTATGTATCCTTGTGTTGTATGCTTATCTGAAATAGGACTTATTAGAATTATGAAAGAGAAGAAGTTAGTTGACACCTTAAGTGTACGAAACTATTTGTTTGAGCCTTGAGTTAGGGGATGACTTTAGACTTGATTTGAAAACCATAGGATGTGCTATTGCACTAATTGAGTAGCTTAAAGATCTTAGACTAATGTGCTTCCCAATTTCATGTTGTATGTTATTTTGCTAATCGAGATTAGTTTTAATTAAGTATGATTAGTGAGCCTTAATTAGGATTAATTAAGTTAAACATGATGAAGTTAAGCCTAGACTAATTAGTATAGACATTGGTTAACTAAGTTAAATAAGTAAGATTAGACAAATTAAGCAAGCACACACCTAGGTGGCACAAACTAGCACCTCTCCCCATTTATATCTCCTATAACTCTTTGTATTGTTCAACTCAATAAAACCAAACAAAGAGAAAAAATTTTGCAGAAGACTAGAACAAACAAGAGAGAAGAAAGGCGGAGGGAGGAAAGGAAGAAAAGAAAGGAGAAAGAAGAGGGGATGGAAACTCTAGCTCAAATTCAACCTAGAAAGTGTTCCAAAGTAAGATTTCAATCCCAAATCTTGTAGTAAACCCTCCTAGCATCTAAGATTGAGAAAACGTTGGGGCCAATTTGAATTAATAAGGAAGAAATGAGGGAAGGAATGAAAAAAGTTGGGCTAGGTTGAAGAGCTAGATAGGAAGCATCGGAATTCATCATTTTGGTTAAGTTTTTGATGTCCTTGATGCATATAAGCTTTCATCTTCACATGTTCCTTTGATTTTCAAGAGTTTCATATATTCAAATTCATGTTTTGGAGAGAAAATGAGAAGTTAGAAAAAGAGCTGAAAAGAAACTAGACTCGTGGATTTCTTAATAAAAATCATGTTCATTGCAGCCATCCCGATTTCGACCTTTCTTTCATGTTTTGCCACTTCAACCGAGCAGGTCTATAGCGATCCCGGTTTCCTCTTTTCTTTAACTGTTATATCCGGACTTAGGTTCCGCGGAATTGGTTGTCGTATATATCTTGTTTACATCCTTTACTCCTTGCATTTGAGTCTTGGGTTGTGTTGGGAGAGTTTGTTACAGGCTGGTTGGACTTACAAACCAGAGTAGTTGCCCAGATTTTGGCCTTCACGCTCGAGCGGGGATTTTGACGCTCGAGCGGGCCCTTCATTGTCGTCTGTCCGCTCGAGCGGGGTTTTCGACGCTCGAGCGTAGTTTTCCATCTTCTAGTATCTCCTCTGCAGTGTTGTGCGCTCGAGCAGGAGTTTTGACGCTCGAGCGGGATGTTGTGTGTGACGCTCGAGCGGTGAGGGTCGACGCTCGAGCGAAGACCTGGTTCTGTAAAAGTTCTGGAAGTGTGTATCCGCCGCTCGAGCGGGAGTCTGTGAGTGACGCTCGAGCGGGGCGACTTTTATATAAATTCGAGATCCGACTTTTGGATCACTTTTTCAACTCATTTTCTCTCTCTTACTTTTCAAAACCTCTATTTGAGAGCTCCTCTCACTAGAACCTCAACTTCTCTCTAGGTATTGATCTAGCTAGGGTGTATTCCTCACCTTTGGTCTTTACAAAAGTTGGGTTGATCGTCGAGGGCTTTACATTGATCCAAAAATTTTGAGTTTTGGAGCACGTTGAGTTTCATCACCTTCTTCCCTTGAGCTACGAATTTGAGGTAGGGATAACCTACTCCTC